TTATAATTTTGATATTAAATAAAACAACCAACCACCCTAACAATAATATGTACAACTTATTCAACTTAATATTATAAAAAAGTAGAGAGATTATAAACTCATGCATCGAGCATGTCCTACGAAACGGTAGGTGTGCAAATGACCAGACGAAACAATATTAAACCGTCAACTTACCCTAGCGGAAGATAAATCGAAAGTAATAATAATTAAACACTAAACATTACATTAACAACCTCCCAAACAACTGGTCTGTGGCTAACCTCTATTAAAACTCTTCAACATTCAACAGTTCAGTACGCACCAGTGATCGTTAACCGTAATACAATTAGGCTAATTATTACGATAATCATTTATTATAATATCTAACCATCTTATGTAAAAATATAGTTATCATATGCTACACGTATAATGTCCGAAAAATTAATTCGATTATGTCATTAGCCTATTCATTTACCAAAATAAGCATAATGTATAAATATAACAAACATAATGTTACTTCAAATACTAATATTTTGAGATTACACTTACATTACAGAAAAAATGGGTCGTGAAAAACCTTAAGCTAAAAATATATTAAAAATAAATTAGAAGAACTTATAACATACAATTTATAGAAAAAAGAAAATGTACCGAGCTAAGTCCATAATTATTATAAAAATATCATTCGCTTCGGTACGTAATACTAATATAGATGACGACTTCATGAAATGTTTTACGTTTATTTAATTACTTTTTAGCTATATACAAGTTATCCTTACAAGCAAGAGATTCTTTGATACACCATGTCACTAACTTCTTTAACATACGCACCAGAATGATCAGTGCAGTGTGCCTGCAGTGTCATTTTATGTTTATTCTGCCTGTTTACTTCACAACAGGCGTAGCTTTTCGCAAAACTATACTAATACAGGGAGATTTCACGTTATAATATTAATTACACACCGTTTTGCCCCTCACATAGACCACTGCTAACGTTTCTAATATCTTAGTCTTTGACTATTACTATCTTATTTATACATCGCGGTAAAAATGGCAGTTTATTGAACAGAAATTAAGGCTTTTGTTTTGTATTGCTTACTTGATTAGTATTCACTTCCTACCTACACTACACGTCACTTTTCTTATACTTTCACATTGTAAAAAGACAAGACTTGTCACAGCTTCTATTTTACTCAGGGGAACCAAATACATGTAACCGGCTATGAAATCAGATTATGGCTTGTATTCTGAAATGACGTTGAATTTACACTCGAGCATTAATTTAAGTTTGCGATTAACCTAAATATTTAATTTCAGCAAATCGCAGGCTTGAATCTATTACCGAGTTTCACACGTAGATTCAGAAACAGTTTTTAGTGTTGAATTAGATTATTGATGTGGCTAGAGATATTTGTATAGCTGTATCTCCATTTGAGCATTGCATCAACGCACGATTACTTCGCAGCAAAGACTTGAGATTGATAAGATGAAAATGTATGGCAACGTCATCAGGATTTTCAATAGATGCACGCAGTCAACGATTGAAGCGGCACACTATGTGACGAAAGGCCGATCTAGATGGACAAAAAGGGTTAATTAAAATCTCCAATAATACTAGCAAAATCGATAGCCGACAATCTGGAGGTCACGATTATGGTGATAATTTTGTGCAAGTACCATCCAATAAATTAATAAATATTTTTGAAGTGTCATTACGGGTGGAATTCATGAAGAAATCATTCACTTTTCTGCATTTGGTCTGTCGCTATTTCAAAGTGTTTATAAAATTAATAGTGCTAAAGTTAATGATGGATCGTGAAGTTGATGGTAAGAACTACCATTTTTATTCATTCACATTGCAAATAACTTTACAGATGCCGAAAACATAGCTGTCGAATGTGATGGATATTACATTTTTAATGCGAACTTTGTGTTTGTTGGACCAGAAACTACATGTACTTTATTGTACCATGGCTGCAACTTATATATGTTGTAGTCTCATTCATATTGTATTGCTCAAAGTAAATTTGAAAGTGCGGACTGGTGCGGAACCTTGTCAATTTTTTTAGTAAAGCTGATGCCAAAATTTTTTTTTCGTTCTTTTTTTTTCAGAATACGTAATATTTATATCCCGAAGGGAGTTCTACGAACAATGGATAAAATATCCCAAAAATGAAAAAAATAAGCGGAATGAATATTTCGATAAAATACGAAACTTACGAGGTAACGGAGGAGTTATGAAATATTGAAATGAACATTTCCCGAATTTGTTGTAACAATTGGCTGGAAAGTGGCTGGCATGGCATTCTATATTTTTATTCACTCATCCTTTTTATTTATTTTCAATTGCCATAAAGAATTCAGCTTTGTTTTTCTTCTTAGAAACATGTTCATTTTAAGCTGACCTCCTATCAGGTAGTAATTCTTTATAACCGTGTATCAACGTATACTGGTTTATGTATTATAGCGTTAAATGTACCAAAACTGAATGCAATTATGACTGTTTTTGCTATATATAGTCAAATCATCAATAGATACCGCCTTTAAAGCTAATTAATATTGTCAAATAATATTGTCCATCTAGATCGGCCTTTCGTCACATAGTGCG